TACCACTAAAAAGAAAAGAATAAACAAAGAGCTGATGGACTTGTGACTCAAATCCTCCATTTTTTAGGTGTTCGGGTTTAAAACTTAATTTATTCGATGTCACTTGCTGTTATCTTGAAGGGTGGAAAGATTAATGCTGTCCAGAATGAAGGATGACTGTAGAGATGCCCTACACACAAGTGTCCTATGTGCAGACTGGTTGATTAGGGGGGTTAAGATAGGAACCCAAAAGGTTAATGTGATGTCATAGAGCAGGTCAAAGTTCATATTTATTTACAGGTGATTATACGAGCTAACAATAAATCATTACGGCTACTAATCTAAATGAAGAATCTAAAGCAATCTGTCATTGCCACATACAAAATTAGCAATTGCCAATATACACGTCCAGTCTTTTATGCTCACAAAGGCTGCATTTATTTGATAGAATACAGTAAAAGCTGTAATAATTTGAAATATTATTACAATTTTAATAACTATTGTCAATGTTAATATTTGAAAATGCAATTTATTCCTGTGATGGCAAAGCTGAATTTTTAGTAGCCATTACTCCAGTCTTAAGTGTCACATGATCCTTCAGAAATTATTCTAAATTCTAATATGCTGACAAAGGATTTCTATTTCACATAAATGCTGTTATTTTGTTATATCTGTTAATTAATCAAAGAATTCTAAAATCGAAGTAAAACATTTTAGTCAAATTACATTTTCAAATACATTCAAATTGAAACGGTTCTTTTAAATGCTACAGTATTTCACATGATTGTTTTTACTGTATTTTTATCAAATAAACAGTTAAAAATCTTAATTATTCCAAACTTTTTGACCAGTAGTGTATATTAATAAAAACGCACAGAAATATAGTGTAAATGCTTGTGGCCAAAATGTCTATCAAATTCATATTTGGGATTTGGGGATATTTAGGAAGTCTAAACCTAATTTGGCATGGTTATTTGTCATACCTATTAACCATTTTTAACATACTATGATTTGGGACATACTAATTTTAATCTGATATAATATTTAGAACAGATAGGCCCGGTTTCACAGACAGGTTTTAGGATAATCCAGGATTAGATCATAGTTCAATTAAGACATTTAAGCAATTTTTATAAACGTGCTTAGAAAAAAAAAACATTACTGGTGTGCATCTTGAGACAAAACAAAGGCACTGATATATTTTAAGATCAGTCAATGCAAGTTTCTTTCAGTTGCAACAACTCAGATTTACATCTTAGTCTAGGACTAGGCTTAAGCCTTGTCTGTGAAACCGGGGGATAGTATGTGAATTTGGCATAGAGTGCTAAAGTTAAGCTGATTACAAAAGTGTCTTATATTTTTTCATATGTAGTTCAATAAGGGCCAATTGCTTCTTTCTGTGGAGAACCATCTCACGAGAGGCTGTCTGTGTCTTACCACATTTCCAGACTCATCCGTCATCCATCTTGCATTTGTAAGCATGTCCTAAAAGTGATTATTAGGCCCAAACCCTCGGGAGTGTATTACTGACTGGAAGAGGATCACTAGGCGAAATGGGAATTGGTACTAATCCCTGCAAACATGGCCCTAGACGATAGTCTGCTGCATGATGGTAAAGACATAAACACAAGAGCTAGCATGAGTGTGAAATGTGTACACTCAAGTCTTTTGTCTGTAATCTAAACAGACATAACTCATTGAACTTGATTTGATTAGCACATTTTAAAAAAATCAATGCAGCAAGAAACAATGGTGAAGACAGAATAACTAAATGTGTTCATTTAATAAGCACCTAGGTTCATCCAAATTACCCAAGCAATTACGAAACCACTCATTTTTCTAAGGGGCACTTTCGAAGTCAGTGTTTATGGTGGTTATGGACCTGTATGTGATTCTTTATAAAGTCAGACTATTATGGAACAACTGAGATGTCTCCAGTAAACAAACTTTGTCACTTCCTTTCATTTCCCCACTCAATATCCATTTTCATGTTCGTTGATGAGGTAAAACCATTCTATATCCATCTATACTTCCTAATATTCTGCTAATTATTGTAAGCTTTGTTGTAAATCTCACATTCTACCAGAGGTCACAATCGAACGTAAAGCTGTCACGTGACAGCCGGGTTTGTTTTGCAAATCTGAGAACCGGTGACGGGACGCGCGTGAAATGCATCCGCGCGCGGGTCAGACTGTATTAATAAAACGCTAAAGCCGCTCAGCTTAAGAATTATTACAGGAATAAAGGAATTCTGGTGAGTGAGCGGGGCCTTTTAAAAGTGTACCGTGACATATTTCGCAACGTTTATGAGCCACGGGTTTCCTCGGGAATTTCCTATGGGTTTTTCAGAATGGCGGTGTTGGATTTATTTTCATAATCATTCATAATGTAGAACACGGCGTGAATATTGTTTTAGGAAACGTTATCAGAGACCCTATTCTGAAAACCGCTGGGGTGGCCTACAAATTGACATAACGTTAATGACAACGGAACAGAACAAACTTTGGTAACTGCCATAAAAAACACGCAGATCACATATTAATTAAATTTATTATGATTATTTACTAAAAAAAAAAAATCTGGTTTTGGCTGTATTTTTCATAAATGCGATTTATTTCACAAAACATGAGTTTATTTCTTGTAATTATGATTTTATATGTCATAAATGTCACTTTATCTCACAATATGACTTTATATCTCATGTGACTTAATCTCATAATTGTTATCTATATCTTAAAATGTGATGTATTTCTTATTTTAATATATATATATATATATATATACTGTATATAATCTTAAAATATATCAGACATTTTGACCTTTTCATGACACGACAAGTTAGATTCAAATGGTTTCAAATGC